GTGTGAGCCAGCGAGCCATGACGTCACGACAATAGATAGAGACGTTAGCCAGTTGTGCTAATTTGTGGAGTACAATTCAAAAAACAACTACAGTATAGGTCTAATAATGAATTATTTTGATGTTAAATAGACAATGTTAGCTATCAAAGAGCGACGTTGTTTTTCATTGGGACCTTCGTCCCTTCAAGGCTAGGCCTATACCATCCTAGCTAGTTTAGGCCTAGAGTAAGATAAGGCTAGCGCGACATGCGGACGTTGGTACGAGTAGGTTAGTCTACAAACGTCGCCTAAAGTAATTGATTTTACCCAGCAGAACGAAAGAAGGAAACCCGCTTTTCAGTCGTCTTAGGCACTCGTTTTTTGACAAACAATGACCTTTCAGAGGTCTAATTGCTGTCAAGAATATGAATTGGCTGCTTCGCAGGAATAAGATCAACAAATCACAACTTTCTTTTTCGCCTTTAGCACAATTTTCCTCACTTCACTCTAAAATCGATTAAATAAGCCTTTGAAACCCCTGAATTGTCGAAATTTTCGGGGCTTCGCCCCAGGACCACTTTCATAACGTTTTTAATCGAAGTTTGACCACGCCCACTTTGCTTTCGTCGGGGAAATCTGACACCTCGTCCAGGGCTTCGCCCCCCCCCCACCCCCGTCGGGAAAATCCTGGCGCCACCCCTGAGGCCTACTATAAAGTTCTGTTTTTTGGCATAGACGTCAACAAAAAAGTAGGATAAAATACACTTCAGACATGAAAAGCACAATATCCCTACACTTCAATGTACCGTTAGTAATAATTAATAATCAATAATTAATCAATTAATCTAAATAATATATTACACAATGTTTGGGCTTCATCCGGTAACTTTTTACGTCGGCGAGTGGCCTATGTTGTACAGTAATACATTTTATAGGCCTATCTAATGAATTTCCCAATTTTGATATGTTGATAGTTTTCTTTTAGACCTACACATAATTACCAACCGCCTTGCATCGCTGGACGGTCCTGCATTTCAAAGTGGACACATGCTTGATCATAATTTGTCACGCATTTAGCACAAGCATATGCGTATGATAACGAATTATCACGCATTCAAGTGAAAATGTATTTATAATTCGAAGAAATTGGTTTTATTAAAAATATAAAAACGGTCATGCAGTAACTTAAGTCATTTTTTTACGTCAATATTTAATTCACCGACGCGTTACTAAACATTGATCATAATATGATTTAACAAAATATATATATATAGGCATCTCTCAGGTTGGTACTCAACCAAATGTAATAGGTCACTAGTTTACCAAGCACATATAGGCTTGCACGAAGGTTGAACAAGCGTTGTTTCCAAATAAATTAGTCTAAACTTATCAATCAATCACTCATTGGCACCAAAATAAACATTTTTAAAACAAGGAGGCAAATGCATGAAAGAGTACCACCTAATAAATTCACACTGAGGCCTTATACATAAAAATGATTATATAAAATCTTCAAATATATTAAAACTCATTAACAACAACCTACCCATACTAAACAATAAATCATAATACGTCTCAATTAGACATACGAGTTTGAAAATGATAGAGGGCGGGCCACTACTTGTATACCGCGTGTGTGTGTGTCACGTGTGTAAATACTGTATAGGCCTAGTAGTAGTAGGAATTTTAAAATTATGGCTGGCCAAGTAAGCCGAATTTTGGGATCCTTTTATGTATTTTTGATTTGTATAGTGACTGCAGATGGTTTGACAGTCAAACCTGAAATTGTTTTAGAGAAAAATGTATGGGTTTCAGGTGAAGATGCAGAAATTAGTGAGTATAGAACCCCAATAATGATCCAAGCCCCGAATGGCGATGTCCTTGCATTTGCAGGGGCCAGAAAAACCAGCCACGGCGATGCCTCTGCAAAGGTCATCACCATGCGAAGGTCGAAAGACCTGGGGATTAACTGGGGGCCTAGTGTATTTGTGGTCGATGATTACATGAACAGGGATGGTTTAAATCTGGGCAATATTATAGTGGACGAACAAACAAGTTCTATAATCATTATATACAGTTTCTGCATTCACAATGCATGTGACCCTTCAAAGTACTACCCGACGAATTTTAAAAAGGTGAGCTTCGACAACGGTTACACCTGGGCTGAATCGGTTGACTTGGCGGAGAAATCGCCCTTCTTCAAAGGTTGGAATTGGGCACCTGGACCCGGATACGGCATCCAGAAGAAAATTGCACCAAACGTTGGACGGCTTCTGTCATGTGGTCACGTTGTTGCTAACGCCACTTATGGTGCAATGACCTGTATTTACAGTGACGGTAAGTATATAAGAAAAATTGATCTCCGATTTTACTTAGCAATACTACCTATATAATATTATAACGTTATAATGAACAAACGTTTACTTTGATGTGATGTTTCAGTATCAATGTAGATGTAGACTTGAGTTGTAATATGTTCCCCCCTCCATTTATAATTTTGGGAGTGGAACCCCCCTTCAATAAGCCTTGTTTAGGTCGTCCTCCAAAAAATCCTTGGTTCGTGTTAATATTTACCCTAACATACAAGCTTCACTAACATATCAAAATATAATTTATGAATGTCCTCAGTCATTCAGGTAGGCCTACAGCCCTTTGTATTTAATATGAATTGTTACTTATGCGAAAATATTTCAAAACAAATCCAGTCGCATTGTCAGGCCTACATTTACAGAGTTTCCGGGAACGTTACAATAATATAAGATACAGCATACTATCTTAAAGTATATCACTTAATGATGAGAATATCTTCTTTACTGATTGGCTTTTGCGTGATTTCTAATCATAGTCCGGTTGCTTTTGTTTTCATTTTGTTTTTTGTAGATCATGGTGATACTTGGAACAAGAGTGAAATGCTTGTGTTTTTGCCAAATAATATGAAAAAGAATATAGGCGATTTCACGCCAGGAGAACCACAGGCAAGTATTAGGCCTCAATGTAAGGCCAAATAAAAAAAATTACAGTATTATGTTGGGCCATGCCCTACCAACCCAAATTTTACAAAATTCAGGGTGGGCATTTTAGTTAGTTTTTTTTTTTTACTACAAAACAAGGAACAGTATTTTTTTTCATAAGCTAACAAGGCTGGAACAGCCTTGGACTAGGCTAGGAGTCCAAGGCCTAGCCTACATTGGTGCAGAATTATTATTATTATTATGGTATGCGATGCGATGCGAATCCAAAATTGTTGTATAAGTTATTTGTGTATTTTCTACTTTTTAAGCATTACACATTTTTGGTTAATTTCCCTACCACCAACCTACACATTTTTTTTATTTTCCCAAAACGTGGCCAACACAAAAATTTTTTTTGATTTTTGGCCTAAAATCTGTACATTGCACTAAAGATTTTGAAAAGTCTAAAAAATGAAATATAGTAGTTTGGTTTCTGGTGTAGACTTGCCCAGTGTTCAAGTATATATATAGTGGCTTTTGGAAAATGTATACTTAGCTACTATCCACACCCAGTAATTTTTTTATTTTTTTTATTTTCCCACAGAGAATATGAGTAGGCCTATAATATCACATGCGCTTATATGGATGTGATGTGACATTGACAATTGAGGGTGTGGGGGGGGGGGGGTGGCCTGTACGTAGGGCTAAAGCCTCTGCACCTTCCCGGCCACCACATACTGTTTCTCTAGTAGTAGAACTAAATGCAAGCAGGTATTTTACAGTTTAAAATATGTTTCTTGTAGATTCTTGAGCTGTCTAATGGACGGCTTCTGATTAACGCCAGAAATGAGCATTACTTCCACTCTAAGAATCGCCTAATCTTCTACAGCGATGACGGCGGAAAGACGTTCCCACTTTCAAAATTACGGGTTGACGAGGCCCTTATTGAGCCTCGATGTAACGCAAACACGCTCCTTCATCAGGGAGTCATGTTCTTCTCCAACCCTGCTTCGACAACCAGCCGAGTTAATATGACCCTGCGATGGAGTTTAGACGAAGGCATTAGTTGGACTGGTAGCCTGGTTGTTTATAGTAACAATAGCGAGTACTCGTGTCTCTCGCCTATTGATGACAACCATGTTGGATTACTCTTTGAAAAGGATAATTATAAGGAGATGTATTTTGTTAAAATCAAATTTTGAACCAATTTGTTTTTTTTATAAAAACTATTACATTCCAATTGTTTTGCTTCATAATATTTTAAAAGCAACATTTAGATAGCAATATAAATGAACAAATTCCTAGGAATAAAAAAACAATCTGAAATTAAGCTAAAACTTACGATCCACAAATTAAAGAAACTCATCAAATTTGTATACAATATCAATTATAAATATATATACATGTATAAAAAGACAATGAAACAAACTTAAGTGATAGAGTATTCACATTATTATCATGCAATTATAATTATTATTAGTATTAGTATTATTATTGTTATTAATATAAATATCTAACATTGTCAGTCAAAATCAAACTATTAGTACAGTAATTAGTAGTATCATTTTGAAGTATATTTTCATATCACAGTACTGAATGCATTATTCAATAATATTTCATAAATACTTTTACATATATTGATTAGCATAGTTCATAATGGTTTAGCAGACTGATGTTATTTCTTTGTTATGCATAAATTGGTACTACTTTTATATTTTTTTTCAAGCCCACCATTAAATTTCTATTTTTTCAGCATGGTGGGTGCACTAAAAGGCAAACAATATATTACATTGATTTTATATTTTAAATCAAAGTCATACAAAAACTAGGTATACGAAAATGTAACCTTACATTAAGTACAGTACAGTAGTTAAGTTATTTTTCTGTGAATAGGAGTATTTTATTAAATAGTGAAAACACAATGCAAATTGGTTATTCTCTGTATTGGCTTTCGCATAAAACGTTGTTCTGCGTCCACACTATAGTTTTATGTGACATATCTACCTGTCCCATGTCACATAAAACTTATAGTGCGGACAGAGAATTGAGCACAACATATACTGTAATTTGGTCTATGTTTACGTAGGTACATCCTGCAAAGGACCTAATAGTCCGTATCCCGGGGTATCCCCCTACTCGTCTAAAAAGATGTACGGCATTCTTTGAAGTGCACATGAGCAATTGTGTATAGTTGACCTATGGTTCATAGTCCACAGGCGAGCGTGCCGTTCAAATCAGCGCCGATATTATGGCTGTAGGTTGCAGTGCCCCTGCCTTAACTGCTCGGCCATACAGTATTGGTCACACTATAGTTGTGCACTTTAAATGCAAAGAAAATTGATATATATGCAATTTTAGTTTGCAGTTGTTCCATTGCTTTCTTTTGCAAAAGTGTTGGCTACATCAAATATTAATAATTATTATGCCATTATAAGTTTTTAAATAATTTAATAATGTCTTTATTTCCTCCAAATTTACAAAATCATACAAACCAGGTAGAAAGTCTATCCCACGCAGGGCATTTTGTAAATTATATTTTTTAAGTATTTAGTGATCGGTGGGAATTGTGTGCAGTTGAAATTTTTAGTAGAGGTAAATGATTTTATTTGAAATTTCTTTTTGTAATCCAGTTACTTATGCTTATACTTTGTGCAATTGTTTAAATATACAAAAACCTATGTATAAAAGGGAATCGCACTAAAATGGTGTAAACAGAGCATATTTTCCTGAATTGAGAAAAATTATGTAGTGTTGGCTATACTAAAAATATGACAGAATTTGTATTTTAAATTTGTAATATTTATGCCAGTTCATCTTTTGTGCAATGATTAAAATAAACACTGTGTATTAAAACATTATTGTATTTTAATGTGGTCATGTACTGCATGATAGTCTATCATAGATGGAGAAAGAAATATACTGTATGTAGTGTTAGTTATAATGATATCAAAAAAATAGGGCAGAATTTTGTATTTTAAATTGTAATTAATCATTCCAATTAATGTGTTGTGCAATGATCAAAATAAATAAAATATATTGATCAAACTCTATTTTGTTATTGAATTCTTGTACTACATGACCGTAGCGGACAACTGAACCCCATCGGGCAAATCCTCTCTTCAAATGCAGCAGTATAGTGGCAGAGTCTGTTTAGCCTGGGAGTGGGGTGAGAAAAACTAAACCCCACCTCTCTCCCCCCCCCCCCCCCCCCCTCCAAACTTCACCCATGAGACTTTCTGCTCGTCAATATCATTGTTACCAAAGAGTAATATATATATTTTTTGGTATTCTATAGCCATAAAGGAAACACATTGACAACTAATTATATTATAGGCATCGGTTTTAATTAGCTTTAAAATTTAGCATAATTTTGATTCCTTTAGCCTCTGTACTACATTATAATCTATACTTGATTTGTCCATCAGAATAAAATACAATATAAATTTATCTTGGAAGACTGACGGATATATATTTGATAATAATATAATATACTGTAGGTCTCCATATATTTAAAAATGCCTCCAATTAAAGACCACATTTCTGTGGTCCCATTACAAATGTCTTATCTGACCAAAGCTGCTAAAGACAATGGAAAACCCAGTCCCAAAAGTGGTTTTGAATTGGAGAGAGACCTGTATATTTATATCATGTCTCTAATATTTACAAAATCATTTTATTTTAAAATCTGAAAATTCAGATATAAAAACCTTACTGGAATGAAACCTCACACAAAACTTGAAACAATTCAGTACATTGCAAATAATAAAAAAAAATTATACAATTCAAATTTACAAGAATAAACAATTTCAATATTGAGGCACGTTCAATACGGAGGATTGGCGAAGTGGTACTAAACATTGTAGCTATTCTGTGCACAACAGCTAAACACTGTAAAATGGATATAAAATAAATGCAGTACAGTTTCTCAAATTTTATGACCTTAAATTATTAGTTTATAGTATTTTTTCTCTAAACCAACTTTAATTTTATAATAAATTTGCCAATATCACATATCGCATTTATTTTGGTTGGTAAAATTATAACTGCAGTAAATAAAAATCACTTTATTTTCTGAGCTAGTGCCCCTCACTTAATCATCGAGCCCCCACTTTCACCTTTTTCCCTCCATCAGTCCACTTGTTCAAGACTCCTAGAAACACCACTGGATAAAATACATGGTGAACTTTTAAACCATTTTTTTTTTTGGGGGGCTCCTCGATTTATAAATTTAGTAATTTTTCTTGAAAAATAAACATGATGTAGATTTTTAAAAGTTTCAATAGTGGGTCAGGCTTTACTGTACATGTAGGTAACATATTTTTTTGGCCTCAAGCGAGTTCAAGCTATAGGCACCATTCAGTCTCAATACAAAATCAAATTTATTCGTGATTGTCCTTTGATTTTAATACAAATAGTATACATAAACTAGTACTGTACTTCAGAGCTAATGCACTTTAATTTTAACAAATTCCACCAATTTGTAATCGCTTTTCTCATAAGCTAAACCAATATGATCGTCGTCAACATTTGACAAGCAAGAATACTCGCTACTACCAAGATAGATCGGCAGTTGGCCAGGCCACGACTCTCCCATATCGTTACTCCATTTCACTGTCATATTGAAGCGCCCTGAGGTGGATGCCGGGTTAGAAAAAAACAGGGTACCACCGTGTAGAAGGATGGAACCGCAGACACTGGGTTCGATGAGCTCTGGAACGAGCTTGGTAGATGTGACGGGAAAAGTTATGCCTCCATCAAAACTCATACCATGCATTCTGCAGCGGCAATGATAGAAGTGTGTGTTACGAGCGTTGACCAATAGTGTTCCATTTGGGTATTCAATAACCTGAGAATAAGCAATATGAACAAAAGTTAATTATTTTTATAAGTCAATTAAGATATCATTATCTTCCTAAAAAGAAAAAAGAAAAAAAGCATTAAGTTTGAATTAGTCCACATTTTTACAGTTTTGCATCTTGTGTGCTGAAAAGGTCAAACCTGTTTTATTGTACACTGTATACAAACAATTATTATTTCATTGCATTTTTATTGAGTTTCATTTCAAGCATTGGAAAAATGAAGAGGAACTGTAGTTTGGTGGTTGCTATCCAATCCCAGTATAATATTTTTTTCTTATCCACTCACGAACATTACTGTACTGGTTTCAGCAACACTTCAATGGAAGACTATTATTAGGCGAGACGTTTTAATACCTTGTTTCACAAACTTCTTTTTTTATTTTTAATTGTCTGTAGTGGTAGTAGTAATGAGATTGATAAATACTTTAAAGGAAGAAATATATTATTATTATTTTTGGAGATTTTTGCGGAGCGGAGGGCACGGTAAAAATAAAAAATAAATACACAAATTTTATTTTTTTATGAAATTTCCATTTTTTGTGGCCAACGGGCCAAAAAATACAATTTTATTTCAAAATCAACATTTTTGGTGGTCGGTGGTTTTGCTATTGACAAGGTATAAAAAATAGTCTCGCCCAGACTGAAGGACAACCCTTATCATTGTTCAACACAGGTAATGCTCAAAAACAATGGGGAGGTCAATGCTACTAATATTCAGGGACATTTTATGTCAACACTGATGAACCTTGGCAGTCATGAGGTTAAATTGTTGTGCAATTCAAACAGCTGGTAAAGCTTGCAATTTTAGGCAGCTGGTGGGGGATGGACTGGGAAATAATTTCTGCAGTAAAAGAATTTGTAAAACAATTATTAGTAATTAACAATTAGAAAAATTGTGAAGGAGAGGTGAATTTTTCACAATTATGTTGTCTACGATAGGAATAGTAAATAATCAATAACAAAATTTAAATAGTATCAACAAAATGTTTATAATAATGATGATAGATAATTAATAATATTTATAAGTTGATATTATAAATAATAATAATGACAAAAACAACAATATTGATTTACAACTGTATATGAAAGCCCCATCATGGCACAACATAATGTAATAGATATCCACATGATGACATTAACAAAATCTTTTTAATACAGTAACAGTAATATTTATAATAGCGATTCGTACGTGTCAAGAATCGTCAATGATTGCCCTTTCTGTATGCCAATCAAACTTTGCAATTGACCAATAAGATGACGGCCAGGATTACGCGCATGTCCCACAAAGGTATGTGTTGGTGTTTGCGCTCATTTTGAGAACCTTCTGGAATAGTCAATTATCATACAACATTATGCCCAGTACCTGCGCTTCACCAGGTGCAAAGTCGCCAACTTTCTTATCCCCACCAAATGGTATTCCAACAAGACCACCTCCAATTTTCCAAGTATCGCCATGATCTGAAATTCACAACAAATTACATTTCAGTCTAAAAAATAAGCATGAACAAAATTACTAGCCTGTATATATATTTACATACAAAATTTTAAAAAAAAATGTAGCGAGAATATGAGCAAACAATAATATTGTATTAATAGCAGAAAATGTATTAAGGTATTAGGAAAAAAATAGTTAATACTGTACAGTATATACACTGAAATCAATACTAATACATCTTCAGAACAAAAGAAAAAAAAACTCAAGAACCAAAAGAAACAATTGCTTGCCTAGAAGATGAAGAAGACGAACACAAATATAAATTTAGGGCTTCTTAGTTCCATCTCAAAACCAAAACAACCACACCCCTAATTTTGAATTACGAAACACTTACCGTCACTGTAAAAACAAACAACAGACTTCAATGCAAATGGAGTCCTGTGTCCACAAGTTATCAAACGGCCTTTATTTGGTGCATACTTTTTCTGTATCCCATATCCTGGCCCAGGAGACAGGTCGAATCCGAGGATGTCTGGGTTTTGCAAGCCGAGATCCACCGGGTTACCCCATGTGTAACCCCAATCTTTACTTTTCACAACGAAGTTGGTGGCAACATTCTGCCTCTCGGGGCACTGGTTGTGTGCACAATAAACATACAATATTATGATATATCCCATTTCTTCGTCTACCATAGCAGTGCCTAGATTAAGACCATCTTGGGCTTCATAATCATCAACAATAAATTCAGTCGGGCCCCAGGACGATCCTTTATCCTTCGAGCGTTTCATAGCTATGAATTTTGCTCCGACATCAGTACGGGGTATGTCATACTTTCGCGCTTCTGCAAAGGCGAGCAGATCTCCATTTGGGAGGTTGATAATAACTGGAATGCGATATAAATACACTTCACCCGTTGTATTACCTTCCCATATTATTTGTGTCTGAACTACCGTAGGATTAATTGCAGTTACAATTACGCTACAAACGTATAATACTAGGCCTACACAAGCTCCTATATTCAGACCTACCATTTCCATTCCGTACTCAACGACAACAAACTACAGTGATCAGGTGACTAAATTAATGGCCGGTCACTTGACATTATCTATGGAATGATACATTTCTTATATATGGTGTGTAAATTTGAATTAACACAATAATATAATATTATTAACATATCAAAAATACTATTAAAGATATAAAAAATAATACTAATATAAGGTTTATCATAATAATTCAAATAAATGTAATCATACACTTATTAATATTAATTTTAAAATAGTTGTATATACTAACTCACCTATAAAATAAATAGTCAAATCCATGGGGTCGTTGTCACATGACTCTAGTGTAGCGTTGGGTAATATAGTGAGATCGTTGAGCAAGTAAACAAATATGGCGAATGTTTCTAATTTGGTTTATATTTTGTGGGCAATATTAATTAATGTTTGTTTTGGATTCACACCTGAAGTAGTTTTAGAGCAAGTATTGTTCGAAGGAGGTGATGAAGGCGATGTGTATGCCTACCGAATCCCAGTCGCTACGCTAACCTCACAAGGCAAGGTTGTTGTTTACGCAGAAGCCCGGAAGTATTCGAGATCGGACTCAAATTCGAAGTTTATTGCCGGGCGAACGTCTGTAAATGGGGGCTACAGTTGGTCTGTTACAGAATTTCTTGTCAATAACTTTCGCACCAATGATGGTATTAATCTTGGAGCAACGTTATACAACGCTGAACGCAAAGAATTGTTAATTTTTTACACCGAATGTGCACATCGAACATGTGCAAGTGGAGTGACCTCAAATTATATGTTGAAGTCAGTTGATGGAGGCGTCTCATGGCAACCACCAGTGGATATTTCAAAGGCAAATGGCACAAACAATATTAATAATAATTTGTATAATTATTCTTGGTCAGCTGGGCCAGGATACGGCATACAGAAAAAGCTGGAGCCTCATAAAGGTCGTTTGATTGTGTGCGGCCATACTATCAGACACACATATTATGCAATGGAATGCATAATCAGTGACGGTATTTGTTTATAATATTATTTTATGAATAATTATAATTATATTCTCTCTTAGGAGTGATGTTTTGCCCTAATTGACGTGTTATCGTACCGAATACTTAGTACTGTACGTTCCCAAATACTAGAAAAAAAAATCGCAAGTAGATCCGATGGGAATCGAACCCATAGCCTCCAGATAACTAGTCTGGCGCCATAACCACTAGACCCCTGGTTCTTAATTACATTTTGTTTGAAGTGCTAAATTAATTTTAGATTTGATCTGAAGGGCCAAATATAATCTCAGCCGAGTTGAAAGCAATCGTTATATACCTGGGTGAAACTTTTCCCGCTAAGAGGTCTATTATAAAGGGTTTTTTTTTTTCGCAATTTGAAATTATAGGGGCCTACTTTTAGATTGTACTATGCCTACACATGGAGGAGTAACATTTATTCCTCCATGGCCTACACTAGCGGTAATGACCCAAAACTTGGTCGCAGAAAATTTTTGTGTGGACGTCAAAATACAAAAGGTTTTCTGCAAACAGTCCCTTATGTAGGACTAGCGAAATTATGTACTTTTATGAGCACTGTCATGATAAACACACTATTTATTACCCCTGCGAACAGGGGTGGCGCCAGCAGGGAGGGGCCTGGCTTGTGAAGTAAAGAATGAACAGTAAACAAAAGAAAAATACAGAGATGGAACTTGCCGGCACAAATGTCGGTGTAATGCTACTACTGTATGACTTGAAAAGAAGGCTATTAATGAAACACAATGATCAGAACAAAACACAGAGATAGAACATGACTTGAATTATTTGCAGGACAATTGAAATGTATTTTTATCACTGTTCTTTGGTTTACTAGGTATTTATTATCATGTAAATGTAGGCTTATTGACTAACCAATAGACGTAGGTGTATTGCAAAATAAAAATTTAGTTTAACAATGGGCTTCTTCTACTGGATTGGTCGTAAATCAGGCATCTGGACTCAGCAATCCCTAAAATTTTAGCATGTCTATGATAAAGTTTTTACTTCCTCTGGGCTGCTGTTAAAGTTAGCAGAGCTAATAAGAACACCAATTTTGGGAGAAGGCCTATCTTTTATACTACAGGGTTTAAATGTAGATCTGAGTGGGGTAACCCCTAAATCATATTATCCAGTGATCGATTTGTGGCGCTATTCTATTGATGGCCTATATCATCTTGCTTAGTTTCAAACACTCCATGTACATAGGCCTACTGTACCCATTTTTTTTGTTTACTTTATTGAAAATGTATTCATCGAACTTTTATTATGGGGTCTTTCCATGTCAAATCACCCAAAAAAGGACAGATTTACACCTCACCATGTCAGATTTTGACCAAATTTAATTTGTAGGTTCATTTGGGTAAGAAAGAGCGAAATTTCAATTTTATTCAAAATCGGACAAAGGGATCAAAAATTACAGCCGATCAAAAATTGCCGAAAATGACAAAATTGCGCACTACCGCCATTTTTCAAACGCAATTAAATCAAAATGTACTGGTCCGGTTTTCATGAAACAAAAATTAAAGGAGATTGAACGAGGATTCCAAATCCAGTACAAGGATTCCTTGCAGTACAAAGTTATCCAGTGTTAACCTCATCATATTGCAATTCTGTTAACCTCATCATATTGCAACATACTGTATTTGGAATCTTCAGAGTATCTCCTTTTCAATGATATTTACTATTTAAAAAACGGCCTAGTAGTGTTAACGTTATGGCTGTTCGAAAATGGTAGCTGCACCCATTTTCATGTTTTTTTTTTTTTTTTTTTGTTTGTTTGTTTTTTTGGTTTTTTTTCGGGTTTTCTTAATTTTTGACGGCTCATCATCCGACAATCGGATTTTCGTAATATTTGAAATTTAAGCTTTTCTCTAGCCAATAATCGTTTTCCCCAATTTTCGTTAAAATCCGAGTCGGTGGGTTGTTCACCATTGGGTGATCTGAACAGAATGACCCTATGTTTTAAATATTATTTTTTTTTCCTCACAAATTAAATTGCCGGGCGGCCCAAACCAGGGTACTAGACTATCGAACTTGCGCTGTGACTATAATGTTGTGTCTAATATCCACGTAGCAAATGCTATTTCGATGTTTGTATCAGGAAAATATCGTTCTATGGTAAATAACAAAAGAAAAGACCCCAGACATCTTCAGCACTAGTCCAGGGACATCGTCTCCAAACTAGGAGAACATTCCAACGATATATTTCTTTCTTTTTTATTTCGAACATATTTATACAACATAAAACATAATCAAGTGTTTACATTGTCCTCTTTAAGATTATGATCTCTTACATGGTGATGGTTCCTACAAAAATATAACCAGTGCCATCCACTTTTCTTATATTATTACAATTGCTATTTTTTAATAGAGAATTGTGATCGAGTTGGCTATAATTTGTCGGAAGATCATCTACCAGGCCTATTATGTAATTTTTTTTTATACACAATTACTATTTTGCTAATACAGAATTGTGTATCATACCGTCGTCATGTGAACTCAGTCTTTGATGTTAGCATCTAAACTATAGCACAGTTTTCCATTGGCAGTCGGTTGTCTGTCATTGAAAGTTGGGCAATATTATATAACATCAAAATGTAAGTTTAAAGTGCATGAGTTAAATCGAAGTACAGTATAATGATTGTGAGAAATTAAATTTAACGTGAAGGATGGTAGATTATTGTTCTTTCATTCTTGACTTTTAAAGATCAAGGAAGTACTTGGAAAATCGGAGCTTCACAACCAGCACTTCCAAAGTATGGACCAATGACCAGTGGCGTATTTTGGCCAAGTGAAGTTCAGGTACGTCAGCCTACATCCACCAGACAAGACCAAAGGTTGAGTCTGCTGACAAACAACTTCATTGTTTATTGCATATTATCGATATGTAAATTTCAAGTAAAACGTATCATACGCACTGCATCATTACACACTCGTGTATGATCATATTTGGCTGTAAAATTATTGTGTTTATATTTATGCTTTATGTGTTTTGTATCCATGTTATACATATGTAAATTCTTTGTGTTCATGGAGGAGCAATACTATAAGCAGCATAAGGTTATTCTTGAATATACTCCCTTTCAGATGTTGGAACTTCGGAACGGTTCCATATTATTCAACATTAGGAACGAGAGGAAATACCAGTGCGCTTGCCGCATTGTAATGTTAAGTAATGACGGAGGCGACACTATTGACTTTGACAGCATCTACTTTGATGCCACATTGATTGACCCCACTGATGCAGGAGCAGTCCTTTTACACGGAGACAACATATTCTTTGTTAATGCAGCCAACACGGGATCTAGGAGGAACATCACTTTAAGATGGAGTGCAAATGACGGCAAGACTTGGGATGGAGCCTTAAGTATCTACACAGGTCCAGCAGCCTACTCCACGTTGACGAGTGTTGATGAAAACCATATTGGTGTTCTATACGAACGGAGTATGAGTGGCAAGAGTGATGCTGGCAGTATATGGTTTACTCTTGTTAAGATTAAGTAGATTTTTATATACCGTTGAACCTTTCATAAAATCCTTGGGTCATACTAATCATTTGGTTGATAATGGTGGGTTACAGTTTGAGTATTGTTCACTAATAAAATACTGGTTCAATATTATCAAGCATAAATTGGCATTGAAAAATTCCACCCATGCATCCTGTAATACCTCACACACACACACACACACCAACTGTAAATTAAGATTGTTAACACATAGCTGTAGGCATATTCAGTTTTAAGCTCGGTTTCCATCTCTCACCCTATCGGCGACATCGGGGTGCATTGCTAGCTGCCCCGACGCAATCGGGAAGGCGCCCCGATTCGTCTGCAACACAATCGGCAAAGTTAAAGCAGGTTTAACCTTCCCGACAACTGTCGCCGATAGTAAGCGATTCTATGGAAACCAATGTGACATTGTAGAAACGGTTGGCGCATCGGTTGTGGCTTGGACTCCCAACCTCGTGGTCGGGGGTTCGAAACTCTCGCTGTGCCAATCGCTTGTGTCCTTGATCAAAGGCACTTTATCTACGGTTGCCTCTCTACCCCTAGGAGTATAAGTGGTACCTGGTAGGTTACAACACAACTGATTACTAGCTGCACTGGAATAATAATATAATTTATAAACTTAATTTGGTGTTCAGTATGTGTTCCATATGTGTTTGATCCAATGACCGGGGTAATGTGAAGCGCTTAGAGGCTTTGTGCATGAATATAAGAACAACATAATTATTATTATGTATTATTATTAACCATTCGGGGAGGAGAAAAAAAATTATATGTATTTTATATTTTATATATATTAGAAGACTCTAAAATTGATGATAGCCTTTGAAACCCCTGAATTCTCACAGTTTCGCCTAGGAGTATAAGGGGGTACCTGGTAGGTTCCAACACAACTGATTACTAGCTGCAATATTAATGGAATAATAATATAATTTATAAACTTAATTTGGTGTGTATTCATATGTGTTTGATCCAATGACCGGGGTAGTAATGTGAAGCGCTTAGAGGCTTTGTGCATGAATATACGAACAACATATTATAATATTATTATTACTGTATTATGTATTATTATTAACCATTCGGGGAGAAAAAAAAATTATATGTATTTTATATTGTATATATATTAGAAGACTCTAAAATTGATGATAGCCTTTGAAACCCCTGAATTCTTACAATTTCGCCCCCTGGGACACCACCCGACCACACTAAAGTCTGATTTTCTTAAAATCGCTACACTGTCGCTACAGTGTTTTCAGTGAAATTGTTTTACTGCGTAGTAGGCCCCGTCGGAAAGGTTCCCCGATTCAACCGAATAATAAGCATCACTAAAAGCGATTGTATGGGAACCAAGCTTCACATACGTACTCGTCGGGGACATCGCCTATCCCTCTATTTGACAAATCCTTGTGCCACGCCTAGCTGCCATCATCAATTCAGACCTTCTGCTACATCCTCATTGGCGATAGAGCATAAGGCCAAGAAGGTCTTCCTCAGCTAAACCTTTGGAGCCTTTGAGGTATTGGCTTATGAATTGTCCAATGTTAAACTGAAATGAAATTAAATACCATTTTGGGACCAGGGTTTCCATGGTCTTTAGCAGCTTTGGTCTCTGATTAAAATAAAAAAGATAAAAGACATTTGTTAATTTTCGTTTAATAGTGGTCTTTATTTGGAGGAGTCTTTAATTAGATGGAGACCTGTAACTTAATGGAACGTTGATGAAGCACATAAAGGAGTGAACTTCGACGAAGGGGTACATCGTGGAATGAGCCGTTAAGGCTTTTAACCTACAATCGTGAGGTCATTGGCCTAGATAATTTTTCTATGTTTAAAAATTTGTATTGCCCTATTCTGAACCCACCAAACTGTTTGTTTTCTTTGTTTTTTTGCAAAGACTTAAAAAAAAAACAGAATGGTGCACTAAGAAGTGTGATGATCTTTGAAAATAGCACATTTAAAGATAATAATTAAAATGTACCTTGACTTTCAATGAAGGCGGTTTGCCGCAATGAAAATTATTATTATGATCCGTTTCAAGCTTCTTGAAACTGGCGATAAGCTCCAGCCTCAGAGCCCCATGGCTTGGCAAGGATTTGGTTTACTTTATACCTGTAACATTGACTTAGCCCCATAAATGAGATTGATGATTAGCCATACATCATGAACCCTAGAATTGTATGTTGGCTATTAAAATATCCTGACCAGCCATGATTTCAGATTTGCATTGTACTTGGGGAATACAAAAAATGTTGGCATAATGTATTTTTAATTTTATAACTACAGTATATATAATTATGGTGATTTGGGTTCACTTGTATTTATTGGGCGCGGCTCTATACTTAAAACCAGTAAACTAAGTTTTTATAAGGAACAGTTGTTTTGTCATTAATATTTATATATCACCATACACAGTAATTATTAAAACTATATTTAACTCATTAAAGCCTACTTGGAGTTTGTGATTATTTCTTTCTGTTTTTTAATTACTCGTAACGAATCAACATTATAGCACACACTAATTGAGAGTTCCGACTAAGTACCTCTATTTTTATACGTATTATGGTTCCCAATAATAAATAAAAAGTAAAAACATATTTATGTAGTTGTCTCAGGTAAAAACCAGTTAATTGAATTTATTTAACTGTAGCAAAATGCCATATCGTTATAGATCAAATCTGAAACCTTTCACACCGCGAATAAAGCATTGAATTGCGCATTAACGTGGTCAACGTTTGATGAGACACGGATTGAACGATACGATACGAGCTATCCTATGACATTATATACTAAAGTACAATAATATATATTATAATAATATTATATATACATAATATATTAAGTAATATAAAATTTGAAGGTATAAACCAGCAGTTTAAAATCATTCATTATCAATAATACAGTATATTAATTATATTCTTTTCTTTTGGGGAAAAAATAGCTAGCACAGCATGCGGAAAATGTCGTTATAGATCAAATCTGAAACCTTTCACACCGCGAATAAATCATTGAATTGCGCATTAACGTGGTCAACGTTTGATGAGACACGGATTGAACGATACGATACGAGCTATCCTATGACACATTATATAATAAAGTACAATAATATATATTATAATAATATTATATATACATAATAATAATATAAAATTTGAAGGTATAAACCAGCAGTTTAAAATCATTCATTATCAATAATACAGTATATTAATTATATTCTTTTGTTTTGGGGAAAAAATAGCTAGCACAGCAAGCGGAAAATGTAGATCAGGTGAGGATAAAGAAAGTTCATTACTTTATCAATTATTACACATTGAAAGTGTGAAGTCCCCCAGTGGTAATTCATGTTATTGGAATTTTCATTTAAAATTTTGCGAAAATGGTCTATACAAAACCCATTACGGTCTTTACTCCTTTCTGGTATTAGTAGAAGAATTCCAGTCAGTTGACAAGTTGATCAGTTAAAAAATTAATAACTTAGTTGATGTATTTAAAGATAGAGGCCAGCTACTATCAGTCACATTACAGAAAAATACCTCAAAAATAAATTTAAGAAATGAACAGCTCACACAAGAATTTAACAAAGCTTCCACCAAGAAACAGATCGAAACAATTTTCCACCGGTTTACAGACACTTTAATACAAATTGGCTGGTAATCAATTTAAGGATTTTTTTTTAAATGTTCGGTGAAGACATCTGTTTCTTGGTAGAATGATTTAATTTATCTTATTAAAATAGCAATTCAAAGTTTTGTTAGAATTTTTGAGATATTTTACTGTCTTTTGACTAAAAGTATATCTTTAAATAAGCTATTTCAAATTTTTTATTTTTATTTTTGAGGTTTTCAATAATAATCTCTCTACACAATAAATTATGTAACAACATTAGGTGGAATAATAAAACGAATTTACAATTTAGAATTGGAAAATCGTAGATTTGCTGGTAATTAACTGATTGAAAGATATACTGTTGATGCATCTGCAATACTGTTTAGAGATCTCTTTTCGTGTTACATTTCATATATATAAATATATACACATAC